AGTGGTCAGAAATAGACACAAAACTCCAAGAACTTACACAAAATCATTGAAATGTGAAAAATCTGAAAACTGTCAAAAAGAAGACATAAAATTTCAAAAGAAAGTTACCAGAAAGAGGGACCAAATAAAAAAATGAACACATAAAACTTAAAAAAGTGCAACTAAACATCATAAAAGGGAACAAAATGACTAAAGAAACAAAAAAGTAGATTAGAGATGGGAAGAACTCATCAGAAACTTTAAGAACAGACACAAAATCATTCAAATGTGATGCACCACCAGAGAGGAAGAAAGTAACTTTTATGAGCACATAAAAGTCCAGATATTGGAAGAAAAAACTTGTCAGAAACAGACAACAGTCTGTTGTCCTCACACAAAAACGGGAAATAATTGGAGGTTCTTCATGATGTGTTTTGGTCTTCTAGCAACATATTTCAGAGGGATGACGTTTGTCCTGATGTGCTTTCCGTAAATTATGTCTAAATTCACATGCCTTCTGAGACTCTTTATCCTTTAGTGAGTTTATTTTCCTTTTGGCTCCTCTATCAAAATGATTAAAATGTTTTTAAAAATTGGCCTAACTGATGCACAAAGTGGCGGCTTGGTGGTGTGGTGGTTAGCACCATGGCCTCACAGCAAGAAGGTCCTGGATTCTAGTCCCCCGGGGGAACCAGGACCTTTCTGGGTGGAGTCTGCATGTTCTCCCTGTGTCTGTGAGTTCTCTCCGGGTTCTCCGGCTTCCTCCCACCGTCCAATAATCTGCATGTTAGGTTCATTGGACATTCCAAAATGCCCTTAGGAGTGAGTGTGTGTGGTTGTTTGCCTCTGTGTGACCCTGTGATGGACTGGTTGTACCCTGCCTCTCACCCATTGACTACTGGGATAGGCTCCAGTCCCCCCTGCAATCCCATTAGGGATTAAGCTGTTATGATAATGGATGGATGGATAGTGCACAAAGCAAATAAATAAATATAATTTTTTGGGGAAGGATTTTACCTTCATAGCGTAAATAAAACCTAAGTGTAGCTGTAAGAGCAGAATTGTGTGGCAAACATGATGATGAAAAGGTCTGTTAATCCCTGATCCCGTTGTGGTGAACCTGACCCCCTGCGCCCCGGTGGCAGGTGAGGAGGTGGCTCAGCGGCCCAGCTGCTGCTGCTCTCTAGGGGGAGTTGGACACAAAACCCTCTGGGTTTGCGATCCCCGCTGCGTCTCTCCACCATTTCTCACCCCGAGAGCGCTGGAGGAGCACCCCGGGCTCAGGCTTGACCCACATCTGGAGTGCCCAACCTTTTGCCCGTCCCCCCCAACCCCCCTCCACACGCTTTATTTCCGCTCATATGATGGAGGCGGGAAGGGAAATCGGGCCATTGCTCGTTACGTAATAATGAAAGTGCTGCTCTGTTCAGCTGAGGTCAGTCCTGATGACTATACAGCTGGCAGCATTTCTGTTTGAGAGGAATCCTCTCCGGTTAGTTTTTTGAAGCTCAGATGACTAAATTAGGGCATTCAGGTTGTCAGTTTCTTACATAACGTGATTGTTTTTGACTCGGTGATTTTCTATTTTTAATTCAGGGAACTCGAATTGATCCTGGGGGAGATTTTCTATCAGTAACACGTGACAGGAAGCACAGGTCTGACGAGCACCGTCCTCTGTGCTCCAGACTGGAGCGTTGCATGTTATGAACCGAGTGCAAGCTTTAATGATTCAGTAGATTTGAATGAAAGCACCAACAAATGTCCGGTGGAGGGGAAACGGAACATCTTAATGGATGACATTGCATGGAAGCAGATTAAGTTCCTTCTTAGGTA